GAAACAACCAAGATGCCCATCACCTGAGGAATGGTTGAAAAAGATGTGGTATTTTTACACAATGGAGTATTATTCAGCTATTAAGAATGATAAACTGGGAGCCTTTATATTGAAGTGGATGACACTTGAACATATACTCATAAGTGAAATAAACCAGACACACATGTGTAAATATCATATAGTTTCCCTAGTATAAGAACTCAAAAGAAGAAATACAAATAGAAAGGTATAAGATTAACTGGCATGAGTCCACCTCTTCTCAGATTGACTTCTCATCAGATCTCATTAAACCCTCTGTAACCTCCAAATAAACACAATAACATGATAGTAGTTCCACTCAGACAACTGTTTTGTCTGCAACCAACATGTGACAGTCACTTCACCAAAGTCACAGCTATCCCATCATTGTTTAAAAGTCCAAGTCCAAAAAATCTCTTCTAAGACTCACTGCATCTTAATGATGTACTCGTGTACAACTGTAAAAACAAACTACATATTTGCAATATACCATGGTCATAGTACAGGGTAAAAATTCCCATCCTAAAAAAGAGGAATAAAAGTGTAGAAAAGAAAAGGACAAAAGCAAGACCAAAACCCAGAAAGTAAAACATTGATTTCTATAGCTCTGTGTTTTGGATTTGGAGAACCTGGTGGTGAGATATGACTTTTACCGGCATGGAACAACAGTCCTGTGGGGGGACCTCTCCCTATGTGGCAGGCAGGAATTTTTTACAGTATATCCATGTCAGCCTGCTATGTGAGTGTCCGTAGTTCTGATGTGACTCTGTAACATAAATCATGCCTAAACAAACTGTAAAATGTCCATGTATCCCCACATAAGGGAGATAGAACCAGCACTCAACCTTTACATGTGAATCCTCTGGGTCAGGGGCTTCAGGAATAAAGCTGCTTCCTGGGGGGAAAGGCTCGCCATCCTGTCTCTCTATGGGAGGATCCTGCAGCAGCCCTATGTCTCAAGTCGAGGCTGCTGTGACAACTGAGAGTGGTATAGTCAGCCCCAGGAAGTCAGTTCTCTGGACTACCCTTCTGGGCAAGACTCCTGGGGCTCTCTCCCCAACCAAAGGTTTATATTTTTGTACATGCAGCTTTTGATGGGTAGATTCTGACTGAGTTCTTAGATACCCTCAAGGCATCTTTCCTCTTTTCCCTATACAAATTAGTTGTTTAGATTATCAGATATGCATAATATAAAAGAAATTAAAAAGAAAAAATTTAAGCCTTAATTGCTTTCAATAAATCGGTAGAAATCAGCAGTACAGTTATCTAAGCTGTCCGGTATAT